AAGAAGGGCGAAACCGGTCGTGGGCTGTCGATGGATTTTCAGCAGCCTTATGAGTAGTACATTACAAATATAAGTTCCATGCTTATTTCTCTTATTTGTTCACAAAAAACATGCTGATGTTCACTGTGGCGTTCACAGCAACGATGGCTTATTAGTATGTGCCACTGACAACGGACTTTCGCACTGACGTAATGCACTACTCATAAGGTTGCTGAAAATCCTTCACGACGAATCACGTGGAAATGTCGTCGGAAATTTCCTTCCATATAAACCTCACAGATGCTATAAGTTCGTATCCCAATAAATGTGAAGAAATATGAATGTTTTTCAAGAGAACGTACACACTAGTGGTAGTTGGACGAACGTAATTTGTTTTCAGTACTTCAATTATCTTGATCATGTGCTCAGTTCGACTTTAAAAATGAGTAAAATGGCGGTGTAATACGGGGGGAGAACGGGATGCGAATCAACAAGTATGAACTGCAGATGCCTTTTGGTTCTCTTCAACCACACGTGCTGCACAGTGTTTGCTGAGGTTTAGTTCTGGTTAATTTTACCTTTATAACATATACTACTGGCAAACTTTCGCCGATAGCCCATTGCTTCATAGGTGGTATATTGTATTCGGGAGAATTGGGAAACGCTTGATTAGTATTTCCAGAAAATTCCGTGGCCGCTACTGCAATTTATCAGGTAGTTTTTGAATTTCCATCATCGACAAGGAGAGCAAAATATTCACCAGTAAGACAGCGTGCAACAAACGTGGAGGAATTACTAACCTTCGGCGATATCGGGGATTTGAATCCACAGAGGAGCGCTGGCTTGAAGGTCTTTGTACGGTTGCCATCTATACGAAGAAGAGGTTTATATATTTGTTTTTGGCACGCAAAAACTGAATCACGGCGAATTAATGTGATTTACTCGTAGTCAGAGGTAGTACACTATTTCGTTTGGTTTTATTTCGCCCAAGTGTCCTATTTGGGGGTGTTATTATCCCCAAAGAACGTTTATTTTTCGAGTTATTGCCAAATTATTTTTCTGACATTTTGAATTTTCAAATTTCGCGCCTTTTCCTCCATGTTGCACCTCAATCCAAAATGTCCGCAGTCTTTTTCCTGTTGGCCAGTGATACTTTGTGTGCGATAACTGATTTATCGCTCCTCAAAGTCGCCCGAAACATA